GTCTCCCGCGGGTGGAGGGGAGTCTGCGGGAGGTGTGGCTGCAGCGCGGGCTTCAGTGAGATTTCCCCTCCCCGCCTCGGGCTCCGTGGGGTGGGCATAGGCACACACACACAGGACACCTTACACACACACATGCCCAGGCCGTGACGCTGCAGGGGAGCGACGGAACAGAGCCTCACAGCTGGACCCACAAGCAGCTCAAGGAGCTCTCTGCACAGCTCTCTGGTCGTTGGGAAGATCTAAATGGACCTTCTAGAAAGAGAAGGGACCCCTGTCCTGGGAACGCCAGATACGGCTGGCGTAAACCTCGGACACCCCGTCTCAAGAAAAGCCCCCGCATCCCTCACCCAGTCTACACAACTAATACACTCCATCCTCATTCAGCTCCAACGTCCCTGTTCCAGAGAAATCTGTGCCCCCCTCCCCAAAGAATGCATCACCCACCCTCACCGGGCCTGCCATGGACGCCAACGATTCTCTCGGATTCTGGACAGAGAGATGCAATAGACCAGGATGTCCCAAGGCATATATATGTGAAAGCAGCCACGTATTTTAACTTTCTAATGGGAACATTCTAACTCCGCAGCCCGCTCCACCAGTCGGTCCTTTCCTCTCCCCTTCTCTCAGACATTTGGGGGTGGGGTCGGGGTGATGAAGTCGCTAGGAAGGGGGGGGGGGAATAAAACACGGCCCGGCATTATTTACACCTGCAGACTCGGGATGGCTGGACTCGGGCCCCAATTGGCTTAATTGTAAATCTTTTCCGCATGGCCCCGACCCCTGGGCCGAGGGAGCGCGTCTGGGTTTAATAAGGCGCCCAGCACCCCAGCAGGGCGAATCCCCGCCCCACCCCCACGCCGCTCAGAGGCGATTAGAGCGGCCCTGCACCCCCCCACGCCCCCCCCCTTACCACGCTTGAGGGACCAGACCAGACTCAGACATGTGGGGAACTCATATTTTACCATCTGAAGACAAGAGGAGCGATTTCAAAAGCGGAGGCACCCTCGGAGCCATTGGGGGGAGGGGGTTGCGCGGGGTAGGGAGGGGGCGCGCCCGGTGGCGCGGCCGGCTGGTCGGAGGGCCGGTGGGAAGGAGAGGCGTTCCGGCTGGCAGCGCAGAGCTGACCTGTGCAGAGAACTTGCTGCTCAGAAAACATGTAAAAACACACCCCGGCGGCGGCGGGGGCAGAGGGTGAGCGCGCCCTCCACCCCACCCTCGCTTTGCACGAGAAAATCCAATCCTCCCCCGGCCCCGGCCCGCGCGCTCGGAGCCTCCGTCCCCCCCAAGAGGCCCTCTCCTCCCGCGGCCGCCGGCCTGGCCCTCGGCGCGGCGGGGAGCGGGGGGCTGCGATCGATCGATGCTGCGAAAGGCGATAGGGCGCGGGACGGGGGGCGGGGGGTCAGGGGCGGGCGAGGGGCCCCGCACTCCCTCCCCGCGGCTTCGGTTTTCGTTCTCTCGGGCCCGGCCGGCAGCGCTTTCCCCGCTCCCATCCGGGCGCCGCCTCGCCTCGCCCCGCCCCGGCAGCCGCGGAGGGGAAGCAGGTAACCCGCGCGCGGGGAGCCTGGGCCCGCGGATCGCGGTTTACGGACCTGATCGCGGCCACGGGGCCGGGCGGGAGGCCCCTCTGCCCCTCCGCGGGCCGGCGCGGCCTTGGGGTGTCAGAGAGGCCCGCGGCCCCGCACCCCGGCGGGGAGGTAACCCCAGGGAGCCAGCGCCTTCCCGGGCTCCGCGCGCGGGGCGAGGCCTGCAGCCTCTCCGGGGCGCGCCCCGCTTCCGTGTTTGCAACTGGGGTGGGAGGAGGCGGCGGGAGGCCAAGCCCCCGGGCCCAAGACCCCGTGGGAAGGCACTCGTGGGGAGCCCTGAGCTGACGCTGTCCCCCACTCCTTTGTGGGGCCCGAAGTTTTCCTTCTCCGGAGGAAGGAGAGGAGGGCTGTGCCCGGAGCAGCGAGGGCAGGTTCCCAGGTTGGAGAGGCCGCCCGGGTTTCAGGGTTTGGCTCGGAGGGGAAATGCATGGAGGCTCGGACGCCAGCAAAAGCCACGATCGGGAGAGAAGCGCTCTCCGCTCCAAACGTTCTGCTTTCTATGTGTGCACGCACCCCTGCCTCCCTCTCTCTTCTTCCTCTACGAGATACATAAAAATGGCAAAAGAAAGAGAATCCTTTCCAGCCCTCCTGGCTTCCAGCCCCAAGCCGGGGGCTTCTCAAGACTTGTGGGACCTCCCAGGCCACTGTCACCCCGACCTGCAGCTCAGGTGGTGGGGGAGGCAGAACATGCCCCCAGCCCGGGTCACTCCCTGGGGTATGTGCACACTCGGAAGGGTTTGCTGTCTGTTGTTTGCAGGCAGGGATGACTGGGCTGGGAGCAAGGCAGCTTCCACTTCCAGTCACATTGCTGAGGCCTCTGGTCTTTCCCTGATGGGAGGAGGCGGGAGAGGACAGGCAATTAAGACAGGGGCGGCCCCTCCCCAGGTCTCCCAGCCGCCCCGGTGTAGGGTCAGTGATCACAGAAGGCAGAGGGGAGACAGAGCTTGTTCTTGGCTCCGAATTGTTGTGAGCCCTGCATTAGGCCAGAAAGTTGGCCTGGGCCTGGGGCAGCTGCTCAGGGCAAGCCAGATCTGGAGTCAGGATCCAGAATTCAGAACCCCCAAATCCTGGCCAGGCAGCCAGAGAGACGGGTGAAATCTCAATCTCAATCTCAATCTCTCTCTCTCCCCACACACTCCTCCTCCCCCAACCACCACCACCTGTGTCCCAGACCACAAAAGGTTATCTTCCATGCAAGGGAGAAGGGATTTTTATCAGTTTCCAAAATAACCTGGAACTTTCCATGCTAGCACCCCTCCAATCCCGGAAAGCCTACACATGGGGTAAGCGGGTAAGCCCCTCCCCAATCCCCCGCTCCCCCCCACTCACACACTTTCTACCGCCATCACTAGCCTCCTCTCTGGGGGTTTCTGGGGAGATGAAAGACTCCCCAAGAGTGTTATCTGCTCGCCCTGCTGGGTCCCGGAGACACGAAAACACTACCTTTGGGAATGCAGGCGGACTGGATGGCTGACAGGGAGGAGCAAGAGGAACTGGAAAGACGCAAGAGGAAAAACACACACCACTTGTGTGCCCCCTGCTCCTCATTTGTCTCCGGCCTCCCCTCCCTGCCCTCGCAGCGTCTTTAATTGAAACCCAGTACGGGAAATAGTAATGGATACGGTGCTCGAATGCAGAGAACGTGTCTGTGGCTGCGGGGGGACAGTTAGTTCAGCAGATTTGGACGAGCCGATGTGTCTCTGCCCTGTCATCCTCCCTGACGGTAGCGGCCATTGAATTGGTCATGCCCTCTCCGTTACAGAGCTCTGCCCCTGCCCTCTGTCCCGGCTGCTCTCACAGGGCAGGACCCCGGGTGCCCCCACGCCCCTGGCACCTCCCAACACCAGGGATAATGGGAAAAGCAAAAGCTGCAAACCACCCAAGAAAGATACCCCCTCCCCGCCCAGTCTGCAGTTGGAGAAGGGACAGAATAGCCTTGAAAAGTATTCTGTCCCCTCAGTCCCACACGCGAAAGTCCTGGGACACATGGCAAAGGGTCCACGGACACCCTTCCCTGTCTCCACTGAAAGATGAGGAATAAAGAAAGGTACTGGGCGGTCAGAAGGGCCTGGGCCCCCCCCAGTCAGCTCTGGCCTGTGTCCCCGCTGATTCTGGGTCAGATAAGATGAGAGGGAAAATTCCCGGCCTCTTCCTCGGGAATTCAGTTCGGCGGCCGGACTGGGAAACGTCCATGGCATCATCTTTTTTTTTTTTTTTTTAAGGGACTGGGTAAAGCACACAAAGAGAGCATTGAAGATGCAGACGGGTTGGGAATTAGGAAACCACAATTAGATCCTTTTCCTGAGCGGGAGAGAAAGAGGGGAAAAAAACCCTCCGCAGATGGAGAAGGCACTCCCGCCAGACACACACACACTCCCTCCACCCTGCCCGCCCGCCCGCTTCCCTCCCAATTTATCTAAATCACTAGCCGTGTACCGTTTGCCCTTTCTCGGGCCCAGCGGCTTTGATGAAAGGTAGGTGCTAATAAGAATAATGCGGAGGGTTTTATTCTTATTAGCACCTACCTTTCATGAGCCCCGGGGGCTGGAGGAGCTGGGGCCACAGGGAGACCCTGGTGCCCTGGGTGGAGGGAGGCTGAGTCTCTTCAACCCGTCAGCCCGGGCTCCTTTCTCAGGCTGGGCCTCTCTGGCTGTGACTGCTCCCTTCCTTCACCCACAGCCCTGACGCCCTCGCCCTCCTCAGCCCAGTCTTGAGATGGCACCTGCCCTGGTCCCTGGGAACTAGCATCCCGGTGGGATGGGCATCGGGGCAGGCTGGCTGCCAGGTTCCATGGGCCGAACCTCACTGGGTTCCCAACCCCCATGTTCCTGCTGGGGGGGAGAGGTGGGGACATGCCAAGAAGCTGCCCCAAGGCCCCCCCCCCCCTGTCTCTGCCAGCCCTGGGCCTGGCTCTGGGTGTGTGCACAGGGTGGGAGCACCCCGAATTCCCCGGAGCCTGCCCACCCGCCCTGTGGGAACGGCCCCTGCTTCCTGCCCCCTTCCCGTCGGGGCTGCTTGCCCCACAGGCTGCAGGCAGAGGCTCCTTTCTCAGTGCTCCAGCACAGCCCCCTCCAGGCCGCCTGCAGTGCGAGCTGGTCTGCCACCTGTCCCCTCACTGGTCAGCCCTCAAAAGGGGTCCTGCAGGCCCTCGGCCTCTCCCCGCCATCCTGGGCCCTCCAGGAGCCCGTGAGTCCCCCTCACCCCTCCTCAGGAGACAGATGGGGGATAGGGCCCATGCACCCGACAAAGCTTGGAGACAGGACCCAAGTGACTCTCACGTGTCCCTCTTCCGAGCCCCGAGCGCTGCAATCACAGCCACAGCAGCTCCCGCCTCCCCGTGGCCACCCCACGCCGGTGACAGTCAGGAGGCGCCCCCACCCCCCACCCCGCATAGCACGGCCCATGTGCGTCCCCAGGGCCTGAATCGCCGCTGCCGGCTGGGGACCGGCCGTAGGCTCCTGGGGAGCCACGGGGAGGGGGTGGCGGCCACGTCACCTTGGAGGAAGCACCTGCAGCCATAAATAGGCAGCACGGAGGCAGATGGCACAGCCTGCCCAGAGCACCCCACGCTGTGCCACCTGCGCCAGGATGCCCAATGCCCTGCTGCCCGCCTGCCTCCTCGGCCTGCTGGCCGTCACCTCTGCCTGCTACTTCCAGAACTGCCCGCGGGGCGGCAAGAGGGCCACGTTCGACTACGTGGAGATGGGACAGTGCATGACCTGCGGCCCCGAGGACAAGGGGCGCTGCTTTGGGCCCAGCATCTGCTGCGGGGACGAGCTGGGCTGCTTGATGGACACGCCCGAGACGCAGCGCTGCCTGGATGAGGTCAACCTGCCCGCGCCCTGCCAGTCCGGCCACATGCCCTGCGGGGAGGATGGCGAGATGCGCTGCGCAGCCGAAGGCCTCTGCTGCGGTGAACAGAGCTGCATGGTGGAGCCCGAGTGCCTGGAGGGCGGGACGCAGCTGGACAGGGCCTAGGGCCCTCCTGCCTAGGCTGGTGCAGCTGGCGGGGCCCCCCTGAGCCCACCCCGCCCTGCGGCTACTGAGCCCGGCCTCCGCCCCCCTCCGAACTCGAAAATAAACCCTTTACAATGCAATAAAAAATAATAATAAAAAAAAAGAATGCGGAGGGTGTGATCTTTTCATTCTGCCTCTGCCAAAGGCCTGTTTATATGTAAAGGAGGATTGATAAGCGTGGATTAAGTGGATGAGGAAGGGTGCTCCAGAAACAGCAGAACCCAAACTGGCGCCTCAGGGAGCCTCTGCATTCAAAATACCGCCTCCCCGGGCTGGCTCCCACGCGGGATCAATAATTGAGAGGACTGTCAGGGGGGCAGGGGAGTGTCTTACAGGAAAGCCCTGTGCTGCTGGGGCAAGGAGGAGGGTAGGAGCAAGGCCCCAACATGCCCTCCCTCCCTCTCAACTCTTGCCTTTGGAAGAAGAGGGAGAGAGAGGGGTGGGGGTGGGGGGGGAGATCAGAACACAGGGACTGAGGTGAGAGCCAGCTCTGGGGGAAAGGGTGGCTTTGGGGACACCAAATGGAGAAGGTGACACTTACAACCTAGACAAAGGGGCCCGGGGCCCGGCCCGAGACTGTCTGTCAGGACACCTTATCGGGCTGGCCAAGGGCGTCAGCGGAAGGAAGGTGTTTGCCCAAACCCCAGTGAAGAGGCATCTCCAGCCTGTCACGGTAACTGGAAAAGATGAGGGAGGGTGAGACGGGGGACGACGGGGCCATTGAGAAACACAGAAAGGCAGGAGGGGACAAGGACGCCAAAGGAAAGAGCAAGGGAGAGGAGAGCGAGGAAGACTAGAAAAGAGAGTGAAGGGAAAATGGGAGGGGGAAGAGGAGAGTTAAAAGCTGGAGGGACAGAGGCAGACAAGGAGACATGGAAACAAGAACAAGATGGGGGGAGGGAGAGAAGAGAAAGTGGAAGAGGAAGGAAGGTCACAGATGTACAGCCACAAGATCCAGAAAGGAGGTGAACAGAGAGACGGGGACAGAGGAGAGGGAGAGAGGGGAGGGAGAGAGGGAAGAGGGGAGAGGGGAGAGGGGGAGAGGGAGAGGGAGAGAGAGAGAAACAAAAGGTGGGCACCCTGTCTGGTCCAACCAGGAGGCTCTGGGTGGAGGAAAGACAAGGAAGCTGACCCTTGTTCAAAGACCCTGATCCCTGAGCCTCCGGAGTTGGAAGGAGCTAAGCTCTTGAGCCAGCTGGGGTGGGGGTGGGGGTGGGGGTGAAGGACAAGCACAGAAGGATTGAGAACCGCATGTGGGAAAGTTGTAGTTTGGGGGAGCACAGCATTGCTTGTGTGGGGAGGAGGTGCTGGCTGCTCCCCCACAGGGCTGCTTCCCTGGGATCCTGGGTGAGAGAAAATTGGGCCCCCCAGTGGGAAATGGAGCGCCCAGGAGAATGGAGGGAGCCCTGGTCAGTTTCCACGGGTATCCCCCTATCCTAAGAGCCAGAGTCCCAGGCGCTCGGCGTCTCCCCAGCCCGGCCAGCAACCAGAAAGGCCCTTCTCGGTAAAAGTTTGTGTAGTGACCAGCCCTGCAGGCACCTTTGCAATCAGGCCTCCAGCCCTGCAGCCACTTGGGCGCCCTCCGGCCCACTGAGCTCCCGCTGGGGCTTGCCCTCCCCCTAGGGGGGAGGGGTGGCTGGGAGGAGCGGCCCGGCGGACAGGGCTGGACGCTTAAGAGGGAACCAGCGTGTCATCCTCCCGCGCCAGACCTCACACACGCCGAAGGGAATATTTACAGCAAACGTGCCAAAGTAAACGACCCCGCCCACCCCCACCCCTTCCACCTCCCTTGCCCCCCCTTTTTGGTAAACTTCAAGATAAACACCCCTCGGTCACCAAAGGGTCGGCCTGTCCCCTCTGCAGTCGGAGGCGGCGGGGGCAGGGGGGACCCGGCAGGCAGGCGCGGCCCCGGCCTGGTGGGGGCAAGGCCAGCCTCGCTGCCGCCTCTGAGGCCTGGGTGGCGGGCAGTGGCGTTGGTGGCACGGGTGTGAGCAGACCACGTCTGTCCTGAGGCTTCTGCCTCTCCCCCATGTCAGCATCTGCCCTCCACACTCTGCCTGCGCCTCACACGCCGAGGGCATGAGCAGAGAGGCAGGGGTTACTGTTATCGCTGACAATCGGGCCTACGAGGAAGTGGAGATCCTTCTTGCAAAAGGCGGGGGAGCATTTGGAGGACACCAGCCGCTCCCAGAGGACCCACACTTGCCCCCAGCCCCACCCCGTCTCCTGCCCTAAAAGGCACCACTTCGCAGACTCTGCGGAGGGCTGCCTCCATCCCCATTGCCCGTGTGTCTTTGTGGAGCAAGGAGGCGGGGAGAGAGAGAAGATAGAGGGAAAGAGAGGGAAAGGAGGGGTGGGGGGGAGGACCGTGTAGGGCCCGCGCCTGGAGCCCACGCCCCGGCTGCGGGGCGCCAGCCGGTGGGTTCCCCTGGCGGCCAGGCCTGGCACCGGCCGGTCCTCCGGCCTCTGGCCCCGCTGCACTCGGCCGGGCGGGCGGGCGGGCGAGTGCGGCGGCCACCAGGCCGCTTTTGTTTGTTTGCAAATTAATCAGCAGCGCGCGGCCGGCGCCAGAGCGGGTTTATCACCCACCGGGAGGGGGGCGCGGCGGCCCCGGGAGACAAAGAGGAGTTCGCACCTTCCCGCTTTTGATCCCCCAGCCGCCCAGGCCTCCCCGCAGAATACGAGCCTCCCGGGGCGAGTCTGGGAGGTCAGTCATAATTGGCGGAAGTTTGCAGACCATTAACGAGATGTTGACGTTTTTTTCCGATTCTGAACCCCACCAACTTTCTTCCTCATCTCCCCCCCCAACCCCCTTCACGCCAGCTAGAGTAGGGTGGGGGGAAGGGGGTCAGGCGATGGGGGTGACCCCCGTGTTAAGTTAGAGCTCTGGGCAAAAGCAGGCCATCGGGGGAGGGGCCCTGAGGGGCAGAAGTGACGTGAGGTCCGCGCTGGGGCCAAAGGCAAGTCGAGATATTTACAAGTGAAATCAGGGAGCTCCCCTCCCTGTCGGTCTGAAGCAGAGGGGAAGCGGGACTGTCTCCGAGGACCCAGGGGATGTCTCCCCCTCCCCGCCTCTGCACCTCACAGTCACACTGCTGCTGCAGGATTACCTTTTTTTCCTACTCGGAGCGCGGGTGCAGGCAAAACCCGTTCTCGGGGGTTTGGGGCGCCTCCTGAATGTGCTGGGAAGCTGCCCCCCTCCCTCTGGTGGCGAGCCATACGGCGGGGGTAGGATCACAAAGCCTGCAGTGACTCAGTGGTTAGTGCAGGCAGCGGGGCGGCCTAGCGGCTAGGGACGCCGGAGGGGTCATGGCCAGTCACCACCCTGGGCCCGCTGCCTCTTCTGTTCTCCAGATCTGCCGGAGAAAGGCAGATGGAAAGGAAAAGGAAGGGGTGATGAGATGGCGGGCCAGACTGAGCCTGCAGACCGGCCACTCCATTCTCCCTGAAACTTGAGGGGACTCTCCAGGCTGGTACCAAGCACTCTTAACCATGTGCATCAAGAATGCCAGGCTGGAAAGGCTCCAGCCCCCATGCCGCCTGCCTGGCCACAAAGGAAGTGCGTTTCCCCCTCCCCTTGCTCCCCACTTGGGAGTCTGGAGATGGAGGGTGAGGGGGGTGCACAGGGCAGAAAGAGTACGGTGGTGTCCACTCAGAAACACGCACATGTCTGACCCCCTAAGGCCCGGAAACCAGCCCTTTCTCTGTTCCTTAAAACAAGTCTCCCTCCAAGCAGGGAAGTGGAAGTGGGGGGCAACTCACGGCCCCCTCAGACGCGGGGAATGTGGTTTAGGGAATCCTCTGCCCGGCCAGGGCCTGCGGTCACAGTTGGTCACAGTTGTCAATTCGGTGACAAGTTGGACATTTAAGGTCGGTGGGTTGCCTTCCTCCCCCGCACGCCCCCACCGGCCCTGACCTGGAACCATTCTCCAGCCGCCTCTGGGGTGGGGGCGTTTCACGGTTTGTTTTACAAATTCACCCCTGACTCCTGGCGAGGAAAACGGAGGCACCCGGAGATCAGGGCGATGCCTGGGGGAGATACGGGCCGGCGCCCCTCCCCCGCCCGCCCGCCCCTGACCCCCGGCTCCGCTGCGCGCTGGCCGCCGCCAGGCCCCAAACCTGGCCGGCCCGGCGCCGCGCTCCCCGGGCCCCGATCTCCAGTCTCCCCTCCACCCTCACTCACACACGCGTTCAGATGGAACCCGAGGAGCCCGAACCCAGACCGAAGGCCGAATCTGGAAGGGCTGCTGCATGCAATTCACACACACACACACACAAAAATAAAACACCCCAGGCGCCTCGCGGGGCGGGGGCTGTGTACGTGTTTGCGTGTGCGTGTTTTCCGCGGGGGGCTCGGTCCCGGGGCGCTGGCGCGTGCCCGCGTATAGAGGTGCCCGGGGCGTGTGGGTCGCCGCACCCGGGTTCGGGCAGGGTAGGTACGGTGCAGAAGGGAGCCCCCGCACGCGCCTGTGCCGAGATCCGGCTGCATCCGAGCGCCCGTGAGTCTCCGATCCCAGATGCAGGGGGAGACCGGCACCGAGACACCCGAGCTCGGGAGCCCTTGGCGCGGCGGCCGGGCGGCGCTTGGCTCCACGTGGGGCCGGAGAGCGCGCCAGCCTGGGGTCCGGGGCGCTCGCCTCCCTGCGGCGGCTGCAGCAGGCTTTGGTGGCGCCCAGCGGCCGAACCGGCAGCTCGCAGGAGGGCTCCGCCGGCCTCCCGGTTCGCCTGGGGCCGGTTAGTCTCAGAGGGTCAGCGGGAGAGAGAGAGAAACAGCCGCGCCGGGAAGGCGGAGAGGCGAGCCGAGCGCGCGCGCGAGAGGCGAGCGCCCCTGCCCGGCGCCCGGCGTCCTCTCCGCCTTCCCGTCGCGGCTCGCTCCCTGCTCCCTCCTCCCCCCCTTCCTCCCGGGCCCGGCCTCCTTCCTCCCTGGATCCCCGGGCTGGAGGACTGAGGCATTTCAGACTTGGGGCTGAGCGAGAACAGGCGAGAGCGAGCAGCTCTGGGGCGGCGGCGGCGGCGGCGATCTCTGGATCAGCCACCTAGAGGCGGCCCGGGGCGCGCGCTCCCCGGCGGCGCCCGCCCCCCGCCCCCCGCCCCGATCATGTTGACATATCCGCGGGACGGGCCGTAGTACCGATGCGGCAGCAGCAGCGACGTTGCCGTTTCCGACACCTTCTTTTTATAACTCGGCCCTCTCCCTCCCAGCACTCGACCTGTGAAAACCACGCCTATGCGGCCACACAATTGGTCCGAAAGCGTCAAAGAGCCAATCAAGAGGCCCCCGGCTCCCCGCGGCCCCGAGCACAGCCCGACCTTCTAGAGCCGCCGAGCAGACGCCCCGGGAATTCTAGAGGCGGCGGAGGGTGGCGAGCAGCTCTGGCCGGCCCGGCTCGCTCCCTCCCTCTCCTCTTCTCCCTTTCCCGCTCCGTCCGTGCCTCTCTCTCTGTCTCTCTCTCTTTCGATCTCTCCCTCCTTTCTCCTCGCCCCCCCCCCCCCCCCCCCCACCTCTCCCTCTCCTGACTCCCTAACCCCGTGCGCGTCTGGACGCAGATTTAGGAAGCGAATTCGCTCACGGTTTTAGGACACGGAAGGCGGGCAGGCGCGGGCGCAGAGGAGCGCGGCCGGATTCGGATTGAAACCCGGACACCCTCCGGAGGAGGCTCGGAGCGGAGGAAGGCGGAGGAGGAGGAGGAGGCGGCGGCGGACGGAAGCCCGTGTGCAGTTTCAAGTTTTGATAGCGCTGCTCGGAGAGGGTTTCTTCAATCAGAGATTTTTTTTTTTTTTAAGGAGAGAGACTTTTTCCGCTGTCTCGCCGCCTCCGGCGGTTCCAGCCGGGAGTCCGGCGCCTCCTGCGAGGAGAAGGAGAAGGAGGAGGAGGAAAGGGGAAGAGAGAGGAGGGCGGGGGGCGAAGAAGGAGAAGAAAAGACAAAAAAAAAAAAAGGCTCCGAGGAGGAGGAGGACCGTTCGCGTTTGCAACAAAGACCTGGGGGCTGGGGCGCGCGGCTCCCGGGACCCGGGGCTGAGGGTCCGGTTGGAGCCGAGCAGCCAGCGGGGCTCGGGCGCCCCCGGAACCGGTTCGCAGGGGCGGCTTTTTCAACGCGCCCGACGCCAGGACAGGCACCCCTCGACCATGTCTCCCGATCGCTCGCCTCGCCCCCTTTAAAAGCTGCATTCTCCTCCCCCAAAGACACTGAGACGCTGAACACCCTCCCTGCGAGGCGCTTTTGTTGTGATTTTGTTTGCTTTTTTTTTGCCTAATTTCTTTTTTTATAAACTATGTGCTGCTGTTAATCCAAACAAAAACAGCAGCTGCGGACTTGTCCCCGCCGAAGCCCAGCGCCCCGCCCGGAGTGGAGGGACCTCTCCATGAGAGATCCGGTCATCCCTGGGACAAGCATGGCCTACCATCCGTTCCTACCTCACCGGGCGCCGGACTTCGCCATGAGCGCGGTGCTGGGGCACCAGCCGCCCTTCTTCCCCGCGCTGACGCTGCCTCCCAACGGCGCCGCCGCGCTCTCGCTGCCCGGTGCCCTGGCCAAGCCGATCATGGATCAGCTGGTGGGGGCGGCCGAGACCGGCATCCCTTTCTCGTCCCTGGGGCCCCAGGCGCATCTGAGGCCTCTGAAGACCATGGAGCCCGAGGAGGAGGTGGAGGACGACCCCAAGGTGCACCTCGAGGCCAAAGAACTTTGGGATCAGTTCCACAAGCGGGGCACCGAGATGGTCATTACCAAGTCGGGAAGGTAAGCGGGCAGAGAGGAACCCTCCACAAACTCTTGGAGGGTCTTTCCTCCCTCTCTCTCTCTCTCTCTCTCTGTCCTCCCGGATCAGCGGGTTTGTCAGTCCTGGTGGCTTTGCAGGAAAACTTGGGTGCCCCTGGAGCTGTGCACAGGCGCCCGGGCCTGGCCCGTGGCAGGCGATCTCAGCCTACCTGGGTGTCAGCGGGCGCTGGCGTTCCCTGCCTAACTCTGCAGCCTGGGCTCCGGGCTGGATAGAGTTTTAGGTAGAGCCCAGACTTCTCTGCATCAGTCTCCCTGTTCAAACCTTTCTGGAACCTCCCGCTGGCCTTGTTGATGTTGTGGGTTTTTGTCTGCCTCATTTTGAGCTCAGAGAGAAAAACTTAAAAGCCCCTTTCTTTTGTGTGCGAGCAAGAGGCCTGACACCAGCTTCTCCCGGCGCTTTCTGTCCGCCAGACCGGCCTCCGGGGCCTGAGGGGGCCTGAGCCGGCGGCTGCGGGTCAGAGAGGAGTCGCTGGGTTGGTTTGTCTACGCCGCTTCACGTGTCCCTGATCCAAGGGAGAGTTCAGCGGGCGATTCGGGGATCCTCGAGGTTATGTTTGCAGACTCCAGGAGCCACTGGGAAGATCTAGACACATGCTTCTGTTTTGTGTGCACATATTCTCAACCCTAATTTTACACAGAGGTCCTTGCCTGAAAATCGCTGATTTTCTTCTTTTTATGGCCTTGAAGTCGATCGAGGCATCCAGGTGAAAGAGTAGAGATAAAATACACCCGTTCACGGTGCCTTCAGCTTTCTGACTGTCCAAGTTATAGGAGGCCAAAGTTGGGGACAAAACGCCTGAACCCCAGGAGATGTGTAGCCAGTTTCCCCAGAGAAGTGCTTCCTTCTAAGTCGTGAGGCTAGAACCCCAGTCCTTCTGAACCCCAGCACTTCTGGGGAGCAGGCGGCGGTCGGTGGCCCAGGCTGGCCGTTTGGGACCGGCCTGTGCCAATGGGGGAATGGGGTGAGCTCAGGCGGGCTGGTTGTAAGGCCGGGGAGTTGCACCCTAAGCCACAAAATTCGGCTTCAGAAGGTGCCCAAGTCCAGTTTCATTTTTCGCCAGCAGCGGGATTGCTGCTCGGAAGAAACTGGAGGTTCATTTCCTTGATCGGGGGAGCCTTTTCTCCCGGACAAGCAAGGGGGTGGGGGGGACCCGGGGCTTCCACTGGCTGCACTTCTAAAACCCTACCCCGGGTGCGGTGTAGCTCTAGGCAGGGAAGAGGCAGAGGCAAGAACCTATGCATGCACACGGACAGGAAAACATGTAAAGAAAAGAGGAGACCATGTAGAGAAGTGGAATGCTACCCCTCAACTTGTTTTGAAGTCTCGAGACATTTTAAAGATAAATGAAACCCTGTTGGATACTCCTGCTGCTGCAGCAAGCAGCCGCTCCGCTCTGAAACGTAACCTTGTCCCCGTGCAATTTTAAATTTGATTTCCATATTTCAGGGTACATAGAGAATCCAACCCGAGCGTCCTAGTGACTTCATTTCCCTTTCTCTCCCCACCCCTCTCCTATTGCAGGCGAATGTTTCCCCCCTTTAAAGTAAGGTGTTCTGGGCTGGATAAGAAAGCCAAGTACATTTTGTTGATGGACATTATCGCTGCCGATGACTGTCGATACAAATTCCACAATTCCCGGTGGATGGTGGCGGGTAAGGCTGACCCCGAGATGCCAAAGAGAATGTACATCCACCCGGACAGTCCCGCCACCGGGGAGCAGTGGATGTCCAAAGTGGTCACTTTCCACAAACTGAAACTCACCAACAACATTTCGGACAAGCACGGATTTGTAAGTTTCCTCGATCCTCTCCCTAAAAAAAAAAAAAAAAAGGTTCTCTTTCTCTGCTCTAGCGCAGGCAGGGTTCCCCCCACGCCCCCCGGCCTGGTAAAAATCGTGAGTTTCCGCTCAGGCTTCTCTCGCCCGCTCTGGGGCGGAAGGTAGGGAACGTGTTGGGTCCGCAGCAGAGTGTGTTTCTTTTCGAGAAGGGAAGGCCCAGCCTCTCTGAAAGCAGGGCTCCTGCTTTCTGGGGCACTTGTAGGGCTTGGGAAAATGGAAGTTCAAAGCCAATCGTTAGAAACTAGGTATTTTAAAAAGCGATGTGTGTGCATCAGGGTTTTCAGATCCTCCTCCTCCTTCTCTTTTGAAATCAGCCATCGTATTTCTTGGGAAGAGTGTGAAAGTTGCATATGGGGAAAGACTTTTTTTTTTTTCTTCCTTCTTCTTCTTTTACTCGAAAAGCATTGGGCTTGGGTGAGAATCAGGTTTTACTAGAATTGAGACGGACCTCCAGAATCAAAATTATGTGTGTGTGGTGTGTGTGTGTGTGTGTGTGTGTTGGGAGTATATTTATATATTTGGTGGGAGCGTACTTCAGAAACGTCCAGAAGAGGTGGATGGCTTGTTATAAAAGTCAAGCAAAGGACCTTTCGCCCAGGGCCCCTACCCTCCCCAACATTTCCACAAAAATAAACAGCGATAAGCGAGCAATAAGCAGGAAGATTAGGCCCCGGAAGGCGCGGAGGGCGCAGAAATTTTCTTCCGAGCGGCAGGAATTGCATTGGAGGCCCTTGATTTGATTAGAGCATAAATATGCCTCCGCGGAGTCCGGCGCCCTGAGCTCTAAGTGGATTGGGCTCGTCAATTAGCGAACGCTTAAAGGACTGAATCATTTTTACAAATTAAAATACATGTTTTTTTTTTCTGTCTTTTAAGACTTTGGCCTTCCCAAGCGATCACGCAACGTGGCAGGGGAATTATAGTTTTGGTACTCAGGTAGGCTAGGGTTCAAGGTTCCGATTGAACCTGAGATGGTGAGGGTGGGGGGGACCCGGTGGAAAGCTGAGGAGCAATTTGGATTCTCCAGAAGGTCGCGTTGGTGGAGTGACAAGTGCCCCTGGAGGGGGGCTCAGGCGCGGTGCCCTCCGGTGGGGTAGCTGGTAGTCTGGCAGGGGTCCGAGGGTCCCGTCTGTCCTGCTCAGCCCCCCCCTTTTCGCTGTGTCTCTCTCCTCCGCCTGCCCCTGCAGACCATCCTCAACTCCATGCACAAATACCAGCCCCGATTTCATATCGTGAGAGCCAATGACATCCTGAAACTCCCGTATAGTACCTTTCGGACCTACTTGTTCCCCGAAACCGAATTCATCGCTGTGACAGCGTACCAGAACGACAAGGTAATCAAAGGCGCTTTTGGGGGGCCCTAAAGGTGAGCCCAATCCTGCCCTTTCAGCTGCTTTGGGGGCGGGCGAGCATTGGGATGGGGGTCCTGCATTTTCTTTTACCATCGGACTGTCCGTGGAGCTTTGGGGAGTGGGAAAAGGGAACCGAAACACTGCAGAGGCAGAAGGAAAAGAAAAGAAAAAAAGAACAGCAGAACAACCACTTGACCAGCTAGGATTCAAGGCGGAGGGACCAGAAAACATGCCAAAGTAACTCTGTGTCTGGGAGCAGCTCCCAGGGACCCGGGTCTGGTGCCACCCGCCCCGCCCCACCCCCACCCTTGACCCCAGGGCTTTCCCCTGTTTGTCCCGAGGTTTATCCTCTTCCCCTTCAGGAGGAAGGCTCCAGAAACCAGGCTCCCAGAGGAACCCGCTCAGGGTTTGAGGCAGAGGCCATGGGGGATCCTGGGAGGAGAACCCCATGGAAGCCGCTTCTCTTTTCTTAGCCAGAAACCCGCGAGGAGCCGGTCTGGTTTCTATTACCTTCCATGCTGCTGTGTTTTTTATGGCGTGTCGTGTCTGTGCGTGCGTGTGTGTGTGTGTGTGTGTGTGTGTGTGTGTGTTTGGAAAAACTTACTGTGATCACAGGGTCATACTAATTGAGTTGTCTGAAGCTGTTGAGAGGAGGTGACCAAAGCCACCACTTCGCTGGAAGTTTGGTTCCCCCCCCCTCCCGGGCCCGAGGCCGGGGATTAGGAGTGTCCCCAAATGGAACCGCGGCGGGCAGCACCTGGTATGCACAGTGATGGTGGCCTGAAGGTCATGGGCACGGAGCACAGAGACGCTTTTAGCAGGCAGTGATTGGAGAGAGGAGAGGGGGGCGTTGGGAACCCTTGCTCTTCAGCTTCTGGACCCTGGTCCCAGGGAGAGGGCCGCTCAGGGGACAACACCCTGCGTTTTGAATTTGCTGTCACTCCAGCGGGTTCCTCTGGGGCCGGCTGTTCCCATGTGGAGCCTCAGTCTGGGGACTGAGGTATCGCGGCCTCCTGTCCCTGCAAATCTAAGCGCACCCACATTTATCCCAAGGACGAGGATCCAGCCAGGGGGCCCTTTGCCTCCTCCAGGGACCTCTAGGCCCATTATTATCCCCCAAAGGGAAGGGATTTGGAAGCATTTCCCCTCAGCCCACAGAGTGCACGCTCCCTCTCGCCCCAGAGCCCGGGAGCCTGACCTTGTTACTGTAACAATCAATTGTAGCCATTTTTTGGTCAGACAAAGGGACCAGGGCCTTCCCTGCCTAATGGCCGTGGCAGAAGCATGTAAATGAAAACAAATGTTTCCATGGGTCACCCCGTCCTTTTAGATCTGCAGTTGTCCATATTATAACTCCTCCTCGGGCACCCACCCCATCCAGGAACAAACCATCAAGCCCACTCTGGCATCAGGGTAGCCAGACCCCATAAATCATCGTATTAGATTCACAGAAAAAGGCTGGAGTGTATGGTGTGTGTGTGTGTGTGAGTGTGTGTGTGGTGTGTGTGGTGTGTGGGGCTAAGCAATGTGCCACAGCGTATCTGATGATTAATTGCACGGTATTAAAAAAAAATGCAAAATGAAAGCATACCTTTCACATCTACAGGTTGTCTTCCCTTTTGACAATTCTGACAACTTTTTCATTTCTAAGCCCAAGCTGTCAGATTAAAGAAGGAGGCACTTCCCAGGCGGGGTCATTGCAGCTTGGGGTCCTGGTTTGGCCCCAATGGGAGAGTCCCCGGGATTTTACGGGGGTAGGGGGGGAGGGCGCCCTCCACACATCTGCCTGTAACCCCTCACCCTTGCTCTTTAACCTCGCACATCCCAGTGACCTCTCCTGTGGGCAGCCGGACTTCTAGCGAACTGCTAAGTGGAGGGGAAACACTCAGAACATTCTAGAAAACCAGGCCAACGTGTCTTTCTTGCTTGTGTGTCCTCTTCTAGATAACCCAGTTAAAAATAGACAACAACCCTTTCGCAAAAGGATTCCGGGACACGGGGAATGGCAGGAGAGAGAAAAGGTGAGCTGGGGCAATTACTTCTTTCTCGGGTCATTTGGAAGAATCACTTCGCCAGGTCCCAAGTCTCAGCGGTGGGGTGCAGCAGGCCCTCTTAGGGGAGAGAGGGGAAGGTGGTCATGAACTGCCCCCTGCCACGTGCTGGCTGAAGTCTGTCCACGATTGCTTCCACCACCTACTCGTCACCTTAAAGGACATTAGGCCACACCGAGGTTCTCTCGGGAGAAGAGGGACAGGGGTAATCAGTTATACACGGATGCCATTAATTCCTGATCCATTGGAGTTACCCTTGGACAGGTCCCAGGAAAGAACTCAGCCATCCACAAAAATGCTTTGGAATTCTTGCAAATACCAGCAGACAGAACCGAGGCCCCCGGAGCAATCTGGGGGAGCCCCCTCCTTTGTGGGTACAGGGATCATTTTGCATCCAGCAGGCAGCCCCAGAGTCTGTGAAAGGAGCTCTCCCCTCCCCCACCCGCACTCAAGGAATTTCTAAAATCCAGAAAATTAACCCAAATTTTTAACCTACCGCCTGAGGGAGGAGCAGGCGATAAGAAGTGATTTCTAGCGCCTAAGCAGGTTTTTTCTCCCCCCAATCCAATTCGTAGGAGCGGATCCCAGATAAGTGCAGCGTGAAATAGCCACTTCCTCCCGTCTTAGCCACCGGTGGGGAGTGGGTCGGCTTTTTGTTTTTAAACCAAATCACAGCCCACACCCCGGCCCTTTCCCCAAGGAAACCCTGATCTTGAGGGCATGCACCTTAAGCCTGCACGAACCAAGTCACACCCCACAGCCCTGGGCCACCGTCTCCGGCCAGGGAGAGGGTCCAGAACAGTGTGTGGGTCCCTGTGGCTGTCCCCGAGGCAGGCAGGGGGCAGAGTGAGTGCCAGGGTGAGGTGTGCCCCTCCGGGGAGAGGGGAAGACGCGGGGATGGACATTCTGTTCTCACGCGGAACGTGGGCTTCCGCAGAAAACAGCTCACCCTCCAGTCCATGAGGGTGTATGAGGACCGGCACAAAAAGGACGCCGGCACCTCGGACGAGTCCTCCAGCGAGCAGGCGGCCTTCAGCTGCTTCGCCCAGTCCTCCTCCCCGGCCGTCTCCACCGTGGGCACCTCCAACCTCAAAGGTAAGCCGGCCTGGGCACCTGGGGTGGCTTCGGGACTCCAGGCCGTGGGTGGAGGCCTGGGAGAGTTGGGGGCTGGGGCACCCACCAGGGAGCTGGCCCCTCAAAACCTGCAGACCTTTCTAGAAGTCCCTACCCAGGAGCCAGCGCTGCGAAGGGTGCCAGGTGTGCCCTCCTTCCTGAGCTGGTATAAGGGGTGGAAGAACCCCTTCCCGCAAATCTCAGTTTGGCTGAGAGGAGGAGGGTGGTGTCTGTATATTCCCTCTTGGTGGGGGCAGCTTAGAAAACAAGCCTGAAACACACACACACACACACACACACACCCTGCTCCCAACCCACCCTTGTCTCCAAACAACTACTGACTCTCTGCCATCTTTGAACTCCGAAGTCAAGGGTGTTGGGCTGGGGTGGGTGGGGGAGGGAGGCCAGGATTCTCGGCCACCTGGAAAGGGAAAAGGGACCCAGAACACACCCTGGAGGTGGAGCCCCAACCTGTGAGGGGCAGGACCTCTGGGGGGTCTGCGTCCCGGAGGGAGGGGAGGGGTCCGGAGGGGACAAGATGGTTCAAATCCCCAGTCCGTTTCCTGTGTTTAAAGAGCAAAGAACTATTTATCTGGAAAGACACACACACACGCTCTGGCAACGGGAAGAGACCTGTTTTTCCGTTTCATCAAATGGGAGTCCTTTATGTCCCTCAATCCATTTAAGCTTTAAACATAAGATCCCTTTGCCTTTTTTTTTTTTTCTGGTAGGACACCCACCGAGGGTGTGGTGAAAGCAGAAGGAGCTCTGGGATTGTCGCGGGGGGAGGGGGGGGGATAGGGGCAGGGCGGGGGGCCGCCCGGTACCTGTTGCAGGCTCCCCTGGGTGTGTGTGGGAGTTCGTTGCTGCCCCCACCAACCCGATGTCAGGGTTCTCTCCACACAAACCCTCCCCAAAGAATTCACTAATTTGTGGGAGGCCCTGATCAGTCCCCAAACAAAGACCCAGATGGTGGCTAGGAGGTGTTCCCACCGTGAGTCCCTTTTTATTTTAAGAAAAGGAAATTTGCAATTGAAAGGCAAGTCCAGGTAGGCTGACTAGCCCTGGGAGCTCAATCCCTGCCTGTAAAAAATAAAATAAATAAAATTAAAAAAAAATCAAACCCATTACCATTTGAGAGAGGTGTCTATGGGGGGAGGGCCTGGTGGTCCATCTGCATTATCGGCTTATTGAATCTTCCCACTCGAAGTCATGGAGTGTCACCACTCCCATTTTGCAGATGAGAAAACTGAGGCAGGAGGGAGGTTAAGGGGCTTGCCGGGTGTTACCCAGCTCGTGAGCAGGCCAGCCAGGTGTCCTAACGGGGAGCTGGCTTCCACGGGCCCCGCCTGGCGTGTCCAGACGTAAGGCAGGGGGTCCCACGCTCTCGCGCCCCCCCCCACCTCCTTTGGCAGATCTGTGTCCCAGCGAGGGCGAGAGCGACGCCGAGGCCGAGAGCAAAGAGGAGCACGGCCCGGAGGCCTGCGACGCCGCCAAGATCTCCACCACCACGTCGGAGGAGCCGGGCCGCGACAAGGGCAGCCCCGCGGGCAAGGCGCACCTCTTCGCGGCGGCCGAGCCCGGCGGCCGGGCCCGGGACGGCGGGCGGCTGGACAAGGCCTCGCCCGACTCGCGCCACAGCCCGGCCACCATCTCGTCCAGCACCCGCGGCCTGGGCGCCGAGGAGCGCCGGAGCCCCGGCCGCGAGGGCCCCGCCACGGCCAAGGCCGAGGAGGCGCGGGCGCTGCCGGCCAAGGAGGCCGCCTTCGCGCCGCTCACGGTGCAGACGGACGCGGCCGCCGCCGCGCACCTGGCCCAGGGCCCCCTGCCGGGCCTCGGCTTCGCCCCCGGCCTGGCCGGCCAGCAGTTCTTCAACGGGCACCCGCTCTTCCTGCACCCCGGCCAGTTCGCCATGGGGGGCGCCTTCTCCAGCATGGCCGCGGGCATGGGGCCCCTGCTGGCCTCCGTGTCCGGCGCCTCCACCGGCGTGTCCGGCCTGGACTCCACCGCCATGGCCTCGGCCGCCGCGGCGCAGGGACTGTCGGGGGCGTCGGCGGCCACCCTGCCCTTCCACCTCCAGCAGCACGTCCTGGCCTCGCAGGTATGTAGGCTCCCTCCTCCCGCCTCCTCCCCGCCCCTGCCCAGGCCCCCTGGTCTAGCAGCTTCAAAGGAGAGTAATTGCTGGGTGCAAGGTGTATCTCCTAGATGCATCAACAGCTTACACTGCCCCCCCCCCCAAAAAAAATACTAATTTTTTCCTAAAGGAAGGGATGTTTCTGGCAGAGTAGGTAGGCAGGTGGTAATAGGAACTGCACACAGCACTTAATTAGCGCCAGGGACTCTCCTGAGTACGTGATCTGTTCTGACTGCTGACGTACGGTGATCACCTCCGCTGTAGAGCCGAGGCCCAGAGAGGCTGAGGAACTTATCCGAGGTCACACAGCGGGTGAGTGGTGGAGGCAGGCTCTACCCCAGCCCCCCCCCCCCCCCCCCCCCCCCCCCGACTGCGGGGCCTTCCCCAGCGCCTGTGATTTTAGCTTCTTCGGCGCTGCAGTCAGAGGAGGAATGAGAGGAGGGAGAGGCCGAGGCCTGGGGAGCGGAAGGGACTCCCCGGGGATGGGAACGGAAGCCCTCCCTCCCTCCCCTCTCCCCTCAGCCTCTCCTCCCGTTGGAAGCTTTCCCCCTGCTCCCGTCCCAAGCGGGCCAGCCTGTTCCCCAAAGGGTTAACGGGGTGGGCACACGTGGGAAATGGCGGGGCTGAGGGGCAGCCTGGCAGCCTCCGTGTGGCGCAGACAGCTGTGCCCGGGGCACGGGGTGGCCCGGGGAAGGCAGGCCCGGCCGCTTGGAAACGCTCCGAACTGGTGGAAAGGTTCTGGGAGGCGCTCTGCACGCCCCGGCCTTGTGTTTTGTCTGAGCACATTCGTCTCCCTTCCCGGAGCCAAGAGGCAGGGCTGGCCGCCCTCTCCGCGGGGAGGAGGGGAGGAAGGGACAGAGGGGGAAAAAAGGGGCTGGTTCCTGGCCTTTCTCGATTCCTGCCATCTCCTCCGCGGGCCCCTCCTGCAGAGCAGGCCACGAGGGACCTGAGGGCACAGATGGCACCTCAAGGGGGTGGGGGCACAGAAATGGCCCAGGCCAGGTCCCTGGGTTTACACCCTGCTTCTGCCCCTCGCTAGCTCGCCAGTTCCTGTGCCCTGGGGCCTGCCTCGGTTTCTCTGCCTGTCACACCAGCCTATCAGGCTGGGCGACTTCTCCTCTCTCTGTTTGTAGCAAACACGGGGCCCCCCTCCTGCTCCTCCCCTCCCCAGTTTTCTTGTGCTCGAGACCTTCCCTGTTAAGTTAGTTTGTTTTCTGGTGTGTGTTGTTTTGTTTTGAAACGTCCAGGGTTGGAGTGGAAGGGTTCCCGGAGGGGACCGAGAATGAGAAATAATTATGCCGGATATGGCATGCCCTCTGGTTCATACTCAGCCACCATGGGGGGGGGGGCAGGGGGGGTAGACTGACCCCAGCCCTATTTGACAGGTGCAACAACTAACCCCGAGCATGTGTATCCGTCCTATTGGCGGGGCACCCCGAGGAGCATATTGAAGGCATTAGCTCATTGCATGCCCACAAAGTTCCCGATAGTAAATGAATTATTTAATGTTTCCCTGTTGTTGTTTTTTAATATGAGAAAGCGGAGGCACTCGGAGGGAAGGAACTCCACTTAGGTGACACAGCTAGGGTGTAGAGCTAGAGAAATAGGTCTAAGAGGCCTCCCCCCTTCTCCATCTCCCCCCCCCCCCCAAATCCTATTAGAGAGCCGGGGCTGGCCCGCTCCATCGAGGGGTCCCCAGGCGCTGGGGACGCAGCCCCCAGGCTGGCTGCAGCCCCTCCTCGCTGACTCGCTGCCCGCGTTTCTCTTCCCTCCCCAGGGCCTGGCCATGTCGCCCTTCGGAAGCCTGTTCCCTTACCCCTACACGTACATGGCCGCCGCGGCCGCCGCCTCCTCCGCCGCGGCCTCCAGCTCCGTGCACCGCCACCCCTTCCTCAACCTCAACACCATGCGCCCGCGGCTGCGCTACAGCCCCTACTCCATCCCCGTGCCGGTCCCCGACGGCAGCGGCCTGCTGGCCACCGCGCTGCCGCCCATGGCCGCGGGGCCCCTGGACGCCAAGGCCGCCGCCGCCGCCGCCGCCGCCTCCGCGCTGGCCGCCAGCCCGGCCTCCGTGGCCGTGGACTCGGGCTCGGAACTCAACAGCCGCTCCTCCACGCTCTCCTCCAGCTCCGTGTCCCTGTCACCCAAACTCGGGCCGGAGAAGGAGGCGGCCACCAGCGAACTGCAGAGCATCCAGCGGCTGGTCAGCGGCCTGGAGGCCAAGCCCGACAGGTCCCGCAGCGCGTCCCCCTAGGCCCCTCCGCGGCGGCGCCGGCTCTTCATTCCAGGCCGGTCCCGGCTGCAGTGCACTTTGTGGGGTGAACCCGACACCCCGGGGCGCGAGGGAGGGTGGTGGGGTGAGCTCCCCCCCCCCCCCAGAACTTGGTGCGGTGGCCCTGCTTGGGACAGGGTGCCTGCCAGACTCTCCCCCCCCCCCCCCCCCCCCCGGAGAGAATGTGCTAGAAACAAGCCCCGTATGTAATCCGGGAGACCTGGCGCAGGGTCTGGGGGCTCAGAAACGTCTGACTGTGGCACGGAGCCTTTGGGGGGGGGGAGGGGTGGTGAGTTCAGGCTGGTCTGCCCAGAGCACCTCCAGGAGGCTGGTCTGGGGGCCTGGGAAGGAAAAGGTGTCGCCATGCCCACGCGGTGGGGGGATTGGAGAGGGGGGGTGTTGAAACGTGTCTCTCCCAGTGCAGATTTATATATCTATATATATTTTTTTCCTTCACCGTGTCCAGTGGAAACAGAAACAAATAAAATTTAAAAAATATATCTATGTATCTACTGGGGGGGGCAGATGAGTTACTTACTACATGAACAGGATTCTGTTTGTGGAAGATGAAAACTTTTTAGCGACGTGCCCATCGGTTCTCGATCCATGACTAAGCAGCGTTGTTTCGGGGTGGGGGTGGGGCGCCCCTCTGCCCGCCTGGTTTAGCCTCTCTTTTAAGGTAATTTGTGTCCTTTTTGATATTGTGATGTTTTTAAGAGCCACTGTAGGTCTCTTCTTGCATGCTCCCACAGATGTACTTGTGGTTTTTCCTTTTGAAATGCTTGCTTTTTAGAGGGGAAAGAACACGGCCCCACACCCCTTCCCCCCCGACTCTATCTTGTTGGCGGCCGATTTAAAGGGGAAGGGGTGGGGAAGGCACACAAAGAAAAAAAAAAAGAGTTTATTTTATCTAAGCTCTCCGTAGCAGGATTCCTGCCTGTCACTCACTCTGGCGGTTCTTTCTCTTTTCCTGTGTATATGCAATAACAAGGTTTAAAAAAAATAATAAAGAAGAAGCGAGACTATTAGCAAAAGTATTTATGTAATTATTTGATAACTCCTGTAAATAGATGGAATATGAATGCTCGGAAAATTAAACTTTAATTTATTGACACTGTACATAGCTCTGTAAATAGGATCCCCAGCTGTCCAGGTCTGTGTGGATTACTCCTGTAGTCGGTTTTTATTTCAAGGTCACACAGGATTGCTTTTGAAACTAGGAAAAATCACTTTCTGCACCAACACACTTTTCAAAACAGTTGTCCGCAAAAAAAAAAAAAAAAAAAGCAAAAAAAAAAATCTTAAAAAATGTCCAAGTGTGAGAAAAAGTGGTAATTGCCTGTTTTTCCCAGAATTTGGGAGGTGGTGGTAAAAACCACTTCCCAATTCCACCTTCAATTCCTTAAAAATGTAACACCCCACCTTGTGGTTCTGAGGTTGCTTGGGGGGAGAGGGGGACCCCAGGGTGGGGGCTGCAGATGCTGTGGCTTGACTTCCTAATTTTCCTCCTGTACCTGTATGTGCTGGTGTCTGGTATCGTCCAAAGCAAGTGGCATGGACTACTGTCTTCGATATCGATGGTGTTTTTGCATTGGTGCCTCTAGAGAGAGGGATTCACAGTTCAAAAGTCGGGTGCTGAGATGGTTTAAAGAGAAAAAATCTCATGAAGGTATATTTTGTGTTATAATCGAGTTCTTTGGTTTTCTGTAATCCCCCCCCCCCCTTGAAAAACGTCTTGAAATTTCAATAAATTTTTATTGAAATGACTTCTTTGGGCCTGGTTCCTTCCTCGCTTTCTCTTAGGGACCTCGGAGCTTCCTCTCCTGCCCCCCTCTCTCCCCTCTCCCCTTCGCCTTTAAGTAACTAAGACCGCCCCCACCGAACCCGAAGGAGATGTCACTCAAGCTGCCAAGCTAAAAACAAAAGTCCCTTGCTCCGCCGCCGCCGCCGCCGCCTAGGGAGCCGGCCGCCCCAATCTGAAATCACTTTTCCTTTAAATTAGGGAGCGGGACTGGGGACAGGAAGGGGGCTGATTGGAACTGGATAGGAGAGCCATTTCGGAGACTCCGGTTTTAATGGGGGAAAGAATGCTCCCCTCCCTAAGTCCGTGTTTCCCACACGGATTCGACCGCAGAGAAGCCGGAGGAGGACGGCGTACGTTTTTCGTTTCAGCCTCCCTCTCCCCCCCCCTCGATCTGGGAACTCCACAAACTGTGCGCAAAAAAGCCTCTCCGAATCTCCAAGCCCGGGCTTGGCCAGGCGGCGACCCCCTTCCCCCCAATTCCCCCCAGTTGTCAGCGGGTCCCCCCTGCGGCCCCTGGGGTCTCAGATGGGACCAGGCTGACCCAGCGCCCCAGCCAGGCCAGGCCCGGGCCCGAAGCGGTGCGTGCAGAGCGGCCGGCTCCGCTCCCCGGCTCGGCTGGGTCAGGCGAGGGTGTGTGTGTGTGGGGCGGGGGGAGGGCAGCTCCAGGGCGCATAGTTGACCCCCTCCAAGGGGAAAGTCACCCCGGAGGCCGGCACCCTCCCCCGCCTCTCCCCTCCAAGCCAGCCTGCGGCGGTTGGAGGAGTTGCCTTTTGAAGTTCAATTTATCTTTGAAACATTTCAATAAAAAACGGTGAGGCAGCCACAAGCTTTTGGTCTCTCCTAACCTTCCCACCCCCAGCTTCGTTTCGGAGTTTGTGTGTGTGTGTGTGTGTGTGTGTGTGTGTGTGTGTGGTGGGGTAGAGGGGTGGGGTGGAGGCTGGGGGGTGGCATGTACGGGAAGGTTCTCCAGGCTTTTCTTGCCCTGAGGGCCATGACGTGAGGGCCCAGCCGGAGCCTGCCTGGCTGCCCCCCTCCCTCTCCTCCTCCCTGGAGCCCGCCAGCCCGGCCCCAAGTCCCTGTCACCTCCTAGCCTCCAGCATGGCCAGCGCGGGGAGCCCTCCCCGCCTGCATCCTGCGCTGGGGAAGGGATGGGGGTCAGGGCCTTCTGGAGAGGGGAGCCGGCACCCTCCCCCGCCTCTCCCCTCCAAGCCAGCCCGGGGCGGGAGGGAAAAGGACCGGGGGTGGCGGTGCGGGGCTGGGGGCCTTGGGGAGCTGGGGGCCTTGGGGAGATAGCTGCCCCGGGGCCGGAGGCGCCAGGGCGCGCGCCCCTGGCTGGCCCCGAGGTTGCGCGCGGGGCTGCGCCCTGGAGGTGCAGGTCCGCCCGGGGGCGCCCAAAGGCGCTCTCCCGAGTGAGGAGCGGGGGAGCCAGGGAGCAAACGGTCTCGGCCTCAGCCTGGGAGAGGGAAGGAATGCTTTTCTCTCCCGATCCAGACCCGCAGAAACGCTCACCTCCTCCTCACCCCCCCCCCTCCCCCCGCTCGGACAGTGAGTGCCCCGGCGTGCGTCCAGCCTCTCCCACGGCGGGCACGGCTTTTTATTTTCTTTTTTTCCAATCTCCTTTGTATCTTATTTGTATATAGCGATGTTAATGAGTAACTCTGGTGGCGCTGACGGACGGGGGTGAATGGCTCGCAATCTCTTCGGGTTTCGCTGCCTATTACTCACCTGGCGCCGGCCGCAATCTCGCCGCCGCGGGCTTTATGGCGGCGGCGGCGGCGGCCGCGGAGGGAGGCCGCGCTCGGAGCCGGCGCCCTGGCCCGTTCTCCGGGCTTCGAGTGCCACCTATCTGCATGGCGCACCAGTGCGCCCCGGCGGCGCCTCCCGGGCCCCGGAACCCGGGCCACGACCGTCCCCTTTGCGCTTTGCCCCTTCTCCTCCTTGCCAGCCCCCCAGCCTGCGCCTCCTCTCCCGCGGCTCCCCCGCCCCGTCCCGTTCCCCCGGCTTCGGGAAAGAAGCCGCCGTCCGTCCTCTCTTTCCTGAATATCACTTTCACTCCTGCGGGGACCTCAGATGAGAAAACCAGCCCTTCCCGCCCGCCTCCGGGTTTCCAAGGAGCGAAAGGAAATCCAAGGAGGGGACCCCTTTCCCCTAATGTTCTCGCCCAGGGCTTGGCTGCTCGCGGTGGAAGTCGCCAGCAGCTCCCCCCTCCCCCCCGACCTGACCCTGGGGGGGTCAGGGGCCACCCCGAGCTCAGTCTGGGGAGATGGATGCAGAGAAAGGGTCCCCTCCCTCCCATAGACACCGCTCCGCTCGGGTTCTACCCCGAGCGCAGCAGCTGCCTTTGCCTCGATGCGCTGCCTTGATCACTTTATAACTCTGGGTGGTTGTTTTCTTTTTTTTTTTTCCTTCTTCCCACTGACCAAGTCTACAGGGACAAAGGCCACTGCAGGCGGGAGCCGCAGTCCGAGCGGCCCGGTGATGTGTAGATCGAAGGTGACACACACGGGGCCGGCCCGCGCCCCCGGCCCCCGCCCCCGGGGCAGGCGGCTCCCAGCGCGCTCGCGCCCCGGCGTCTGGGACCGGCGGCGGCGGCGGCGGAGGGAGGGACAGGGGTCGCCTCGGCTGCGCTGGGAGCCGCGGGCGGAGGCGTCCCGGTTCCTGCTGACCTCCCGGCGCTAATTGCAGGGGCCGGAGGGCGCGCCCCGGCGGTGGCAGGGGTCACGACCCCGCGCCCCTCCTCCCGGGCCCGGCTGGCCAGCCCGCGGGGGCCCGGGGTGCGCGCGCGCGTGCATGTGTGTGCACAGAGCCCCCCTCCGCCTCCATCCCGAACCCCGCCGGTGCTTTGTGGCGCGGAGGACGTGAAAACAGCTCCATCCGAGAAGGAAAACCCTGGTGGTGACCTTTCCCCCCACCACCACCCCGCCAGCAGACAGACAGGCAGCCGCCTCCGGGCTGCCAGTGGCTGGATGGAGACGCTTCAGGTCCCTGCGCTTTCGGCCTCGCCGGTCTCCAAAGCCGACCCCGCAGCCGCCGGCCAAGCGAGGGGCGGGCGGGTGGCTGGTGTAGACGCGGGGTCGTGAGCCGACACCGGGGTTCACATATTCCTCGCTGTTGCCTCTCCCGCGTGCGTTCGGGGGGCCAGGTACACACAGGTGTCAGGAGGGGGTGCGTGTGTGTGTGTGTGTGTGTGTGCGCGCGCGTGTGTGCGCGCGCGTGCGCGCAAGCCCCATCTGCGGACGTCTCTTCCAATTTGCATTTGGAAGCTCATGCCCAAGACAGTTCCGGATGTCGATGCATTTGGTTGTTTTATAATCAAGATGCGTATAATCAAGACGTATATACGTTGCAGATGTTGGCGTTCAAAGTGCACGTAACAACAATAAAAAGAGCTGGCACGGCAGGGCCGCGCGCGCGTGCCGGGCACTGGGCGGCGGGGCGCCCCGTCAGAGGGGCTCCTCTGGTTCTCCCCGTTAACCCTTTCCGGCGGGTGCGACCTTTGTGCCTGTTGTAGGAAGGAGGAGACCGAGGCACGGGACCCAGAGGTCACTTACCGGAGAGCCTTGGAGAAACCAGTCAAGATTTCCAGCCGCAGCGGGTTCCAGGGTCCGCCTGAACCGGCTCCCGGTTCAAGGGGAGAGGGAGGGGGAGGTACCTGCAGTGTCCGGGTGCAGAGAAATCTCGGGGCGCGTTTCCGATTTGGGTGTGAGCCTCCTTAGCGTTTCCTTTTTCATTTCTTCTGCCTTCTGCAGAGTACGTGTGAAAGGGGAGCTTTTATTCCAGCACCCCACGCCGTGTCCCTCTGTCCCCGCCGCCCGGAACCCCATGCTCTTTTGTTCCCAAGCAGAGGACACTCACTCGAGTTGGAAGAAGGGAACAAACCCCATTAGAAATGCCTGTGGCCTCAACAAGAAAGAATTATTATTATTCTTTTAAATGCCTGCAGCCATTTAAAATAATATGCTCCTGGGTGTCGCCAAGGAGTGGGGATTTCAGCAGCTCCAGCCCCCGTGGGCCAGGGCAGGTGAGGCGACCACACGGACCCCAGGTGTCCCCCCTGCCTGGCCGGAGAACTGTGGGTGTCTGGGCTTTTCTCCATGGGCCTGGGACCTGCCCCCGCCCCCAGCCCCCAGCACAGGCCGTGGGAAGGCCTGGGACCACCGGTGGGGGTCTCAGCCGCGCAGGGACCTGCCTCCAGGTGCTAAGGAAGTTCAGTTTGGCCTCTTTCTCTGCAGCTGGGAGCCCAGGGCTCGGCTACTGGGAGACGGTTTCCGCTGAGAAGTGGGAGAAGGGGTGCAGCTCCCGGCCCCCCCCCCCAAGAAATAGGGTGCCTGGCTCTGTGACGGCCTTGCCCACGTTCCCCGCCCCGTACCACCCTTGTAGGCCGTGGTGCCTAGAGAGAGCAGGCCCGGCTCTGGCTGCAGGCTGGGCCCCGTGAAACAGCACGTGGCTTGGGTAGGGAGTCGGGAACCCTTTTTTCCGCTCCCGAGATACTTCTTAGGGCTTTTTGCGTGGAGGCTGGGGTGAAGCCAGGCGGCCTGTTTCTTAGGCTGCAGCCCCTGGATGGGGCGAGGGCAGCTCAGTGAGGGGCACTGGTCCCGTCCCACTCGCCAGCTCCCCAGACCCGTCCTAGTCCAACGAGTCTGGTCAGCCGGTCTGTTTGCGCTTTTGAAATGCGATCCTCCTGCCACTTGGGTTTCCTCCTAATGACCGGAGCTCTGGTTTCGGGTTGGGGAGAGGATGGCTTCCCCAGGACCCCCGCCAGCCCCCGCCTTGGGGATCCTCCTGCCCCTGCGAGGGGTGGGGGGGACCAGGAGGGCAGGCCCCCTGCCCCTTCAAGGCCCCCAAAGC